AAAATCCGAAGCTCGAGTTTGCAAACTCGGCAAGTCGACCTTGAGGCTTCACAAGATGATCCTACATGACAAAAGTGCTGTAAATACCTAGTAAAATGGATGTTGCCTGAACATGTTTAAGAGCAAGTGTGTTGGAGGATGGTTTTAGGATGATGTTGTTGATGATTTTGGATGATTTTGATCATGATTCTTGGATGATCTCGATGACGTTGATGTGCATGACAGGAGTAGTAGCAGTAGCTCAGTAGGTCAGCGGCAAAGTAGCTCAGTAGCTCAATAGCTCAGTAGCAGCAAGCAGCCGTAGCAGTAGTAATCGTCGTCGTCGTAGTCGTAGTAGTAGCAGCAGCAGAAGTAGCAGAAGCTGTAGAAGTACTCGTCGTCGCGATGGGTTCACTGATCACTTAGACTTAGACCGTATACCCTTTCTAAAGCCTCCACCAACGAGAGTGTCATGAAGATCGAAAGTTCTTAGGTTAGGACACCTGCACAGAAGCTTGCTTGGGTTTTCTTCGGTCCTGACACTTACTAGCAGCAGTTGCTAGCACCAGTGTGCACCTACGGCCTGAACGGGCCAGCATGCTTTGTGCTAACACACCGAAGCAATTCGCCAGGCTTCATCCAAGGCCCGCAGTAAATCGCTGCATCCATCAGTTAAGTGCCTCTTTTCGGCTGTCTCCTGGACAACTTCAGCAACACACGACGCTGTGAGGACTGCGTCGAATCGCAAAGATGCCCGTAAATGCCCACCTCCATATCCAGGGAAACTCGTTGGGGCGCGCTTGGCACTACAATTGCCATTTTTAGTCGCCTGAGAGCCAGAAGACCGGCACAAATAAGTTCGCCTGGAGCCCTACATTCCCAAAGCTGGCACCAACCCGGAGCGTTGTGGATTCAACAGAACGGCCAATCCGCATGTCGCCATGACGGCCTGACTTTGTCCTAGTACGATGCAACCCTCCGTAATCTCGCAATGCGAAATAGAAAAGTGCAAGGCGCGAGACTGCTAAACCGGCTCATGAAGGCCTGAGACCTGAACGCAAGAACTGGAGCAGGCCGACTAGGACACCGTTTTTTCAGCTGGCATCACAATCTCCGCAGTCGGGCTAGACTTGCATCACAAATTCGAAAGGTAAGCCGTATGGCGCAGAAGAAGATCGCTGAGGTAGGGTTCTCCTCCTCAGGTGGCTTTTAACAGCGCTGTTCCAGGCTTCGGCAAGCATCTCTGAAGCCAAGGCGCGACGATGTCGTGCGCAGAACTTGCGTCTTAAGTTCCGTGAACTCCCGCGTCATCCATTTTCTTATGTCCACCTCGGATAACGCCTACTCCGGCTGACCCTGCAGACTGTCAGAGGATCTGGGCATGCATGAAGTCTGTACGTTTCGGGCCTTGTGGAGAAAGGTTTTTCCTGTTTCAGCCGGGCTGCCAAGTCTTTGACTGTGGCGGTGTTGCTTCCTCGGAGCTTGAGGAGCCTCTCCATAAACCTCGAGCTCTCGGAACAGCCGAAAGCAACCGTGGAAGAAAAACATAGTTATATTTTTATAATATATAGTTATATAATACTATATATTTTTATATTTCATATATAAATGACTGCGACAATCAGAGACAGGGCCATAAGACGCTAGAAGAAACTCTTCATGCCTACCCCGGAGGAAGGCATGGCCCGATGCGACAAAGCAGCTGGGAGAACGGCACCTGACGAACCGACAAGGCGTTTTTGGCTTTAGGGGTGGTACTGTTATGGACAAAATCCTGCATGACCCAAATATAGTATAGTACCACAAACCCCATAGTTTAGGTATACAAGGTCATGCAGGATTTTGTCCATAAACCGTATGAAGAAGCCATCAGAGCGGCCCAAAGTCTGAAAGTCTGAAAAATCTACTGTCGACCTTGGAATACTGGGCCTGGCCGGTTTGCTTTGGGCTTCGCCAGTATACGATCCTTTGGTTCTGCGTCAGGTTGAGCTTTGGAACTGTCCCTCCTCTGTTGAATCGGGGCTTGAACACAGTCTAGCAGCACTTGCTGCTTACTACCGGGCTTGCAACTGACCCAGCACACAGCGAATATAATATCCGACATAATGGATCCTCAAGCCGGAGACGGCGCCTTGTCATAGTAGCCACCATCCTCCCCGTTTTCAAAAAGGACATCTATGAAGTTGACCTGGAGTCTCGAGCAGACTTGAAGATCCCGCAGTACATCGATCCAGCTGCTTTGCATCCCGAAGCATTCGATCGTCCATACAAATTCGGAGGCATTTGAGCTGATGATGACGCTTGATAGATGACCCCCGCCCCACTATATCCGCCGCCAAAACCCGCAGCATATAGATGGCGCAAGGCAACTGGGAAGACGCTTGGAAGTGTAAATGAGGATGTTAGAACTCGGAATAGTAGCAAGTTGGAAGCTCTTTGATGCCAGGCCACCAAGTCATGCAGGTCTACGTCAGCCTCCCGCAAGACCTTGCGAACTCTCGCATTGGAGACCATGTGCTGGAACTCATCCAAATCCTGAGGGATAGACGGAGACATGTGCAATCACGGTGAAGCAACGCCGCCATGATCACTGTTGCCCAAACCTCTGAGCCTAAAGTCGACCCTTCTGATGGCTGTGGCCGGCTGATATGTCAAGACATCTTAAGAAGTCCCCTGCAGCTTCCTGCCAAACCTGCAGGCCTCCATAAAGCCATTGCACACCATCATACATGAACAAGGCTGCACAAATTGCAAGGACAACCGCCCAGATAAGCCCGGCATCGATGCAGCCATCGTTGTTCTCATCGGCGCCCAGCTGCAGGCACGTCTGGAGGACCTCTGTCGTCCAGCTGACCTGAAGGCCACCAGTGCGTGACAGGGATCCCTAAACCCTAAACCCTAAACCCGAAACACGAAACCCTAAACCCTAATCCCTAAACCCTAAACCCTAAACCCTACAGGGATCAGGCTCTACCTCTGCAGCAATCTGGCTTGGCCTGCAATGCTTCTTTCTCAGCGTCCGCGACTGCCGTGATCACCTCCTCGGATGTTACGCACGCCTTCCTATTAGGTGGGCCCTGTTGCTGGTGGTTGCTTTCTTTACACACTTGTAGCGCAGCTATGCGCAAGGAGAGAGTTCAGGCGAATGTAGTCTTTTTATTAGGGGGGGTTGGTCCGTGTGCAATGGGGGCTCCCTGAGGAATTTGGTGAGTGTACATGTGGGGCTCTTGTAGAGTCGGAGCGACTGGTGTTGAAGCCACTACATGCCTACATCATGTGAGGACTCTTCGTTTGCCACCAGTCTACGTGGCCTATCTTGGAAGTTCCTTTGAACCAAGGAACGCACAGGACGCCGATGAGCATGTTCATGATGGTTATGGCAGAGATGATCATGAAGAAGTACATCAATCCGAGGCCCAGATACTCCTCAGTCTCGATCATCATGCTCAGCATCTCCGAGATGGAGTCCAGGAGTGTACCCTGCAAGAGCAGGCTGTGCATGGCGAAAGGCACGTGTTTGAAGTACTTGTCCCCGACGGCAGTGCCCACGAGCGCAGTCTTGAAAGCTATGGCGAAGACCTTGTGATCAGCACACACAATGCTGATTCACTACATCTGTGCTCCTGCAAAGAATCTCACTGAACTTCTTGCCCCGGCACGTACAGGCAAATGCCAAGCAGAATCAGGGTGAAGCCCACAGATCGCGCAGCACTCCAGATTGCCTTAACCATTATCAGCAGCTCAGGGAAGAACCTGGCAGGTCAAAACTACAAGGCCAATGGGGCACTATAAGTCTTCAAGTGCCCATGCCGCCTGCTTCAGATGCCGTACGGTTCTGCTGCATCGGTGCTACAATCTTGGTTTTGAGTCCATTGCTGAGGAAGTCCAGAGCGCTTGTACTTCGCTGCGCAAAAAGTTAAACTGATGTATAGTGGGACATGATGTCGCTATACATCATGTCACTATGCGACTATGCTATAGGAATGGTGCATTAGGCTGCATTGCTGCGGAACTCGCCTGTGCTATGTACTTCATAGTTGTATTGTTACCGTGTCATGGCGGTTCCTTGGTTACTGTGTGTTAATGTAGCCATACACCCCAACACTAGAACCCCAAAACCCCGAACACTCAAAACTGAAACTTGCTGAAGATCTAACAGGCCACCGGATGAGACGTGCCATCCTCAACAGCCGCGTCAAGCGCAGCAGCCGTGCGATGCCTTGTATATATGCACATGTGTATGTGATATACATACATATTATACATATATACATATACACATAAATACATATATGCATAAACTTGCATGCATAACATATATCATGCTGTATAATTGCAAACTGGCAGTGGCAAGCGAGGACCCACAAATACCCCAAGGGGGAAGGTCATAGGCACTAAACATATTGGGAAAAACTATTTTGCCCCAATCTGCTCGGGTTTAGGCATTTGGCACCGCACAGTTCAGCCCAGCGAGCCTAGTGGGTTTCGGCTTTAGTGGTTTATATATAAATATATATGATGTATAAGATGCATACTATAGAATTACAGAGACAAATATATATATATATATATATACACATGTGATACTGGCATATCAGATAGATGTTTACGACATTTTTGTATGTCTTGATATCTAAGAACAGACTTGTTCACGCATGGGGATCTTGCTTCCAGGGCTTCGTTGTCGGTACCTGATGCGGCTCAGTGCTTGAACCCGCGCCCCTGCAGCTGCTCGTGTTGCAAGCCTTCGCCAACTAAACGAAGTATCATGAAGGGTCCCTTGTTTTGGGGTCCTTAGAATAAGGATCCTACTATTTAGGGTACTATGTTAGGGTCCCTGCAACTCCACCAGCCCCTCAATTTCCAGATTCTCCTGGGCCCGGGTGCGCAGGATCGAGGCATCGCCGAAGATGTTCGTCCCACCGCCTGAACCCGCCATTGCCAGGACCACGATGTTCATGACCTGCAGCAAGATATGAGACAGCAAGTGCACAGCAAACGAAAAGGCGATGCTGACCTCTGCGTGCTGCGGTAACGATGGTGGTGATGATGGTATGAAAAATCATGCTTAGGGGTGGATGGTGGATGTTGACGGTGATGGTGCTGGTGGCGGCGGTGTCGGCGTCGGCTGCGGTCGATGGCCGCGGCGGCAGTGGTGCTGGCGGCACTAGTGTTGGTTGTGCAGCTTGGGCTATTCCTCGTACGGGTGATGAGAATGTATGGCAACACACAGTATCAGCACGTGCCCTCCGACCAAGTCAAGGAACCCAGGTTTCGGCGACCATCATGGACACCAGAGCGAAATCGAAGGCAAACCAAGCATCTTTGAAGCAGTTGCACTTCCTCTCGAAAGCCATGAATCGAATGAAGAGCTCCAGTGAAAAATAAAAGCAAAAGATCTGCTCACTGACAATGAAGAAGGGGTCGGTCTCTGTAATAAGGTCTGCTCCGTTCAAGTCAGTGTCGAAGGACATGTAGAGGGCATAGATCACGATGATCAACATCGTGAAATTCTCAAAGAAGGCATGCCGGGCTACCATCTGAAAGCATCCTTGGCTTGATCGCTAGTGTCGAGATCAGGATCGCCCTAGTCAGATAGCCACTCGAATACCCACTACTACTACGTATTAGAGATCGGGCGATCACCTGCCACACTGGAGGCCAGTCCATATATATATATATATATATCTCTCTCTCTCTCTCTATCTATCTATCTATCTACCTACCTACCTACCTACCTACCTATCTATCTATCTATCTATCTATCTATCTATCTGCCTATTGTCGGAAAGCAGTCTACAGTGTTCGGCTCTGAATATCATAATATAGCATAAGATTAGAAAAGATTATAGAATAGCAGATAGTGGTGTCTAATATGGTACGAGGATGGCCCTTAGGCCAAGGAGCCAGTTGTCTTGTACATGTTCTTCACGTCCTTGGCTGGGGAGCTCTGCGAGAGGATGGAATAAATGGAAGGTGTGACAATCTAAAGCTCGCACAGCCGTAGCTGCAGTAGCTCGGAGATGTTGCTGAAGGGATTAGAGCTAGAACTTGGAGCAAATTATCAGCCAGCGAGCACTCTCCTGGAGTGCTTCCAGCTACTTGAGGCCCTCTGCTCATAGTTGAGAGGCACGCTCGAGTTGCAGTTCATGGATCACTACCCAGAAAACTTCGCTGCTAGTGCTCTTACCGAGTCAGACCTTCAGAGCAGCTCCGTGATGACCTGATCGGCGGTTCGAGCAGCCGGGGGCTCACTAAGCCGAGTGGAGTGTTGAGCATTTCAACTCAATTTCAGCCAAAAGGTCGTAGCGCATGTCGTTGACCATGTCTTCCGCAATCGCAGCTTTCAGGCGCTGACCCTGACTGAAGACTGCATGTCGACCTCGGACTTCAAGTAAAACACTCTGATCTCTGCAGGCCGTCGGGGCCGCTGCCCACGTGCTTCTCAACCCAAAGGGCTGGTTAAGGTTTAGGGTTTAGGGTTCATCTCCCAAAACTGAGGCACAAGTGACCACAAAAGCCCGGTCCTATCCTAAACCCCTCGAGCCCCTTCTTCTTTTTGCAGCTGCAAGGGACCCTGTAGGCCGGTGTCCGGCATGGCGTCCCAGTCGACTTTGGAAGCGGCCTCAAAGTATACAAAATACTTGGGGGGGGGACCTTTTATAACGGCCTCACAACAACGGGGCCTTAAGACTTCTTAATGCTTTCCATCAAGAGCCCTAGGGAAAAGTCTTTGCATTGTATTACAGCGACAAGCCTCGCTTCGGAGCCTCGGGATTGACTTTTGGCTGTGAGAGAGCGTCGAAGAATCCACGATGTTACGCATCTCAGAGACTGAGTCTACCAACGGATACCAACGGACTTGAGTTCGCGAGGGGTAGGCAGGCAAGGCATCGAGAAAGCTTTTCCGCATGTCGGAATACTGCGGGTGTGTGTGCAATATATGTATATATATATCGATGTTGATATATGATATACAGTGTATAGGTTCCTGCAGCTCTGGGCGAGCCGGAAGCTTCAGACTCACTCCCCCGAACCCGTCTGTTTTTAGGTGCCCGGCGCGCGTGTCGTGACTGCCGAGCGTGTCGGTCTGCTGAAAACCTCAAAAACATCCGAAGGTGCCGGTGTGCATGGAGAGCATTTAGCTTAGCAGTCTAGCTGTCACAGAAGGCACAGCCCTGACACGTGGACACTCGAAATCTGCACTGGCTGCCGCCAAAGCTCGAATGCGGTACGACTCTGCTGTCTCGGTCTCCGTGATGATCTGCTCAACCTGCTTTGTCCGCGATCTAGAGGCTTGCTGTTGGATCACCGCTCCAGAGAAAAAATGTGCTCGGGTATCACTTTCGCGTTCCACAAGGATACAACGATTGCTGGCCGTCCTGCTGCGACTCTGTAGGACGGTTGTCTTCGGTGCCGTGGAACACCTGCACTGACCCCAGATTGCTCCAAGCTAAGCATTGGGACTACAGGGCCGCAATTGTTTTCGGCTTGGCATCCTCGATATTCCTTGTTGCAAGGGTGTCAATCGGGGCTTCAAGCTCGCCCTGCCTCGGACACTAGCACAGGCGGGAGAGCTGTTGCTTCCACATCCTTCGCCTAGGCACTGCTTTGACCCAAGGGGTTGCACTGTTCCCACCAGGTGGCATTTAAGATCGTGCGACAGCAAAGCTGTCTACATGGCCTTTGAGGCTTAGGAAAGATTGCATTTTTGCTGGGCGGTGGTAACGTAGTACAGCAGCGCAGCAGCACCCGGTCACAAACTTGATGCTCAAAACGCCAGAAAAGCCAAAAACTGAAGCAGATTCCGAGGTACATCCGACTCTCGCCCAGCGAGCTGGGCCAATGCGTGCTGCAAGTTCGCGTTCTCGAAGCGCAGTCGGGAGTACTCCTCTGCAGGACATGGGTGTTACAGATGCCTGTAAGTGGGGCTAAGGCTATTTTGTTTCCATGCTCGTGCGTTCGGGCTTCGTCTATGGATGGGCAAGGCAGGAGACAAAGAGGCTTTCTTGTGGGTCCTCTGAGAGCGACGCCACATTTTGGAAAAACTGTGAGGCGTGATCCTCGCCGGCCATGGCACTGGCCGAGCGAAAGTGCGCGCAGCGCGCGAAGAGCGGGTCAGGCGCCAGCCGAACTCCGAGAGACCCAAAAAAGAAAGACCCCGCAAAACAGCCGAACAAAGGCCCCGGATGGCCACGATTGTCAGAAGCTTCCTCGACAAATCTGAAGTTGCTGCTACTGAACCTGGGACCCTCCAAGCAAGTGCGTGTCAAGGTTCCCGAGCATCCTTAGCACTCGAACCGAAACTCCAAAGGACCACAGCTCTCACAGGACGAACAGCACATGGAAACAGCAACCTCTCTAAAGTGAGTGCCCTACAAGGACACCCGAAGAACTGTAGTAGGTCTTTTGCAAACGAGGACGCCGGCGATCGCTTTCGGATCTCGGAGCACAAGCCAACTTTGGCCGAACCCCTCGTCAGCTCACCTATCACGCCCTTCCCATTCCTGTAGGTGAGAGTTCTATCGACTGGGAGCTTGGAAGTGGTCCAAGAAAGGCTGCCTTGGACGAAATTCGACCACTCCCAAACCCCTTCGGAGTGCATGCAACCTCGGCTGTTTCACCAAAGGCCCTAAACGTGTGAATGGGCCATGTGGGGAAGGCCGCAAACGCGGGACCCCAGCACGTCCAAAACATGCGTGGTCTTAGGCTTGGGATGCCATGCGAACCCACGATGGTCCCGACTCTGGGCCCTCACATTGCCCGTAAAAAGTGACACGTCACTAGCTTCGAAAGCGCTTGGCTTCGGGGCTTAAGTTGAAGGAGTGAAGGGAGTGAAGGGTGCCCAGACTGGTGGGGAAGAGACGGGGATGCTCAGCGCACGTGCTCTTGAGGCAGCCAACGGTGCGCCCAGCCTCCTGCAACTGGGAAACTAGAAGCTCTTTTCTGGGTGTGACGTTTGTGCAAAAGCAAGTTGAGAGTAAGCTCTGACATGATTGATGCCTGGCAACTGCAGGCGGATCTGCAATGCAGCTGACCGCACACTGGACCACACTGGCATGCAGCCATCTGAATAGTCAGGACCCTTCAACGGTCCATTTCATCCCGCGATCTCCTGCAACCTGACTTCACTCGTCATCAGCCGAGTGCAAGTCAGCTGGCCTTCGCTTCAGGAGTCTTCCGTAGGTCCCAATCCCCAAACACCTCTAAACAAATGCCAAAAACGGCATGCCGTCTGCGGCTGGGCAAGATTGAGCTCAGCCCACGGTACGGAACCCAGAAGTTGATTACATGGCAGGGGAGGGTTCTCTTGCAATTTCTACAACGGACAGCCCACACATGCGCTGTAACATGATCTACACGTGTCACAAGGATGCATAGGCACTGATTGGGCAGCTCTTGACCTCCCACTTCCTCGTACTGAGCCCTCGGCTTCTCAATTCTCGGTCTCAAAAAGTTCAGGTACAGGCTTTTGAAGGGCCTGGCAGGGCCCCGCGCAAGGCTGTGGTGACCGATGCACACTGTTGCTGGTTGTGTACACTTACAGAGCAACTCGACATCACCCGACTCGCCATCACCCCGAACTTCTTGAAATCCCTGCTTCCGAGCGAAATCAAACCATGCCAGGCGCAGCCATGGAAGGCACCAAACTGGCAGGGCAATTTCGTATTCTCACTCGGTGCAGAAGTTCGAGTTGCTCAGAGACGTTAACGCCCTGATAAGGCGTAGACTCAGCTCAGACTTTACGGCTCCGTTATGGTGGTTCGGGGTTTGTCTTTGCCGGCTTTTGCGTTTCAGGGACGCTGACTGCCTAGGCATGGCGAAGAGAACGCCTTTCGAGAGAAGACTTTCACGAAGCTTGTCGAGAATTGCAACTGCGGTGGTATGATGAAAGAGAACATGTCTCAACAACATTCAGCAAACCACGTCCTGGTGCCATGACTTTGAACAACCCCGCCACCAGCCAGTGCACCCCGAACCCCTGCAGAACAAACGCTTGCTTAAGCTCGGGCTGCTTCTTGGGGCTCCTAAAACGCTTCGTCGCCAAAGAGTTTGGAGGTCGAAGCAGGTTTGATCGAAGCTGAGTGCCAAGCCGACGTAGTCGTACTCCTTCGACAGAGATCTGACGTTGAAACAATGCCCTTTGTGGGTTACTACGAGGTTACTTAGACTTGGTATGAGGGGTATGGGTTCGGTTGGAAGCGAAACGGACTTTCCCGTCAAGCGAAGGCATACCTGCAACTATGCAGAACCCGTTTAGAAGGGGTTGGGGCGAATACTGGACAAGCGCCAACAAGCGCACTGTGCGCCTCTCAAATTCAACTGAAAGATGCATGAAGGGCACCAACCGCCCTGCGACTCGGCAAGCATCTTGGCATACCCAAGCGCTTGCATAGCTAGCTGCTTTGGGAGGCGGTCCAAGCGAGCTCGGGCACTGTTCTCCACAAACATCCGGGGAGTTTTGTCCCGGAGTCCGAGTTCTGCAAGGCTTTCGTCGCCAACAGACACTTCGGAGTCAGGTTTGAGTCAGGTCCTGCAAACACCGTTTCCGTCCATTCCCCCAGTGGGACCTTGCACTGCATGACGAGGGCCCTCAACTTGTTCCTCGTTGCAGCCCTCTCGGACATTTCTTCGGAATGCATCTGGTTCAGCGTGACTGCCTGCTCGTGAAGTTCCGCCACACGCGTCTTTACCGATTGCGCTGGTTCTTCCATCAGGCAAGTGCCCTCATTTGCCTTGGGGATTTGCCTCGGGGCCACGGGCTGTGCGATCTCCCGGGGAATGGAATCGCCCTGCACGACGAATGGAGGTGGCACTTCAAAGGCTTGAAAGCATGTGTCTCCTGCATGCGTCTGCAGGGATCCACACCAGGCAGGTCGGACACACGAAGGGGCTGCCACACACGTTGATTCCGGAGGGGCAACCGTCATGGGCAGGGTTCGGTGCTCCACGGAGCAAGGCCGGACGGGGTTTAGTTTAGGCTGAAGCCAGTACATGGAGCCTCTCTGGGTCACTGGCTGTGCATTTTCCTTGCAGCATCTGCTTGGGCTCCACTGCATGCCCACTTCACTTCACTGCCACCAAAACACGGATGAGACCCTCATAGCAATGCAATAACAATCCGCAAGCAACCCTTCAACACCAGAATAGGGTGTCCCTATGTTTATATTGAGATTCACAAAGAGGCGTCCTTCCACTTGTACTTCTTCGTGGAATAGCCAGCTGCAACCCTGGTCTTCTGATACCTCAGGCTGTTGGTCTTTATCTGCCTGCAATGCTTGAAGAGACAAGGAATGACCGGGTTTTTGGGTGCTGAGAGGGGGCAGTTGTCGAAACAGTTATGAAGCGGCGTCGCAAGTGGACCAAATCCAAGCAACTGCTGCTTCCATCTCTGAGCCAGCAGATATGAGATGATGACACTACTATAGGGCAAACACGGACTCCCACATGAGTAGCTTCGGAGTCGTCTGTCCCCGGTAAACTCGCATTCATCGGAATGGCTTTCTTAAAAAGGCGAGATTCCGCTTTGGGGATCCATGACGATGGAAAAGAAATGCTCCAATCAAACCCCTCTGATCACACGTCGAATCGAATCTTGGATCGGGGCTCGTGGATGAGTATCGCAAACCATGTGTTCACGAAGATCAGCCTGCACAGTTTCTTTTAGGATGCCTTGTGGGACGGAGCTTGCATAACTCTTCCTTGTTGGGTGAAGGAGGGATGGCACAGCTCGTAGGCTCAAACTTCTAGCCGACCTCCCGCCTTACCCTGCTCAGCCAGATCACATCCATTGCAATCACGTGACTAGGCATGAGCGGCGAAATGGGACGCTGGTACAAGTAAGGATATGTATGTACACAAACAAACACAAACATATCCACGTATGTCTGCACGCATGTTTGCATGTATGTGGCTACGGGTTTACGCCTGTATGCATGCGTTCATGCATGTGTGTGTGTAAATAAATAAATGAATATATATATATATATATTATAGCACTTGAGCAGACCGCCCTCTGTTCACAGGATCTTGCGCCTCGTGGCATAGTACAGGACAACATTGAAGCTGAGCCTCAACACATCGTTTCTCCCTCTGTCTGTTCTAAAGGTCCATCTCTGTTGGGCAGTGGAGCCTGACCGACAGGCAACTAACCAAGTACTTTAGCCTGATAGCATCAGTAGTTGCTAGGTTGCTGCCGTGGTGTGGGCAATGATTCATTGTTTCCTAGCCTCAGCTTGCTTTCGGTACGACAGGCGCAATTCGCCGTGGCTCCGACCTTCTTGCGGCTGCTCCGCTGGGTTAGGGGCTTAGCGGCATGCAAACTTGGCATCCTGCTGCCAGCCCCGGTTGGCGTCATAGCCCTGGCGGAACAGTATGAACTCCGCACGGCATCGAATCAGCAAGCGTCAAATGTGGTTTAGACATGACACTAGCTAAGCTTGGGGACTTGAGGCGAAAGGCCTCATGAGTCCAAACTGCCAGTTTCTGCAAAAAAGCTATCGTATTGGTGTGTATGATGCCACAAGAAACCTTCCTTGCATCCAACTCATCACCTGGCTCCTGAACTTGACTCCGTCACAGGCATTTAAGCAAATTTGTGGTGTGGTGGCGGTCGTGGTGACGGCGGTGTTGATTGTGCTTGTGGTAGTTCGTGGTTGTGGTCCAGGTTGCTTTTGTTGGCCATCAACCAGCACCTTCAAGGCGCCGCTCGTCACCGCCTTTCGCAGCCCCATCATCAACTAACATACTATAATATACTATAATATATACTATAATATACTATAACATACTATAACATACTATAATATACTATAGTATACTATAATATACTATATAAAGACCGTCAGTCAGCATCTCCTTCACGACTGCCATCATCTGTTTATCATTGCTCTTCTCCTCCGCATTCAACTACAGAGAGCACCAGCGGGCCCATGCCTTGATCGTCTCGTCATCACCGAAGATCATGAGCAGGTTCTGTGTCAGGGCCGACCCAAACGTCCTCGACGAGGGGTTGACGGTCCGTTGACGGTCAAGACACATGGTGGGATGGGACGAATGACACAGCTTCTAGCCCATGGCATCTCGTTCCATTTCCTCTTGTGGAAGCTTAGACACCATGAAACTTCTGCTCCCGAGTCCGGTCCTGGTGTACTGGTCGAAGTTCGAGGACACCCCCATGCTCAGCACAGTGAGTGCGCCGAGGATGGGTGCAAAAACAACCAGCAGCCTGCTGCGCGGTGCAAACTCCCCTTGCACTGCCTTATCTCGCCATTATCATTTCCATTGGTCAAGCTCATGATCGCTATTATCATCCTCATCCATCGTCATCACCAGCCATCAGCATCTTCTGTCTGCCAACCTCCACAACTTGAAGACTTTACCTTGACGGGCCTGGTGCACTACCCTACCAGCGAAAACGCTTCTTACTCGGTCAGGATAGTCCGAACAAAACACCAGTGGCTCGGAGATTGTACGGGCTCGGACCTTAGCACTGAACGCGGCATTCAACAGCTAGCCACGGCATGCTCTGGCCATAGTACGGGTGCAATCTAATGTCAAATGTTCCGTTACTATGAAGGGACAGGCGAAGAATCAAAGCAATTCGAGTGCTAGGAGAAGTTAAACGTGGGAAGGAAGAACACCAGCAGACCATGTGTGCAAGAATATCACATCGCAATGCTCTAGTTACCCACCATCATCAACGCTCATCAGCATGTTGAACAACATGATAGCACTACTTTCAGTCGCGACTCTGAGTATACTGCGGGGAGGATCTTCTCGCATCAGAAATTCTATCGCGAGTTTGCAGAGTATCTCAACAACGACGATAAAGTGGAAGCGTCGGTGAGACAATATCGACATGAGAAGTGCAGATCAAATCCGGCACTAGTTGTGCTTCTACTGCCACTAGAGGGGAAGAACTCCCACGAACTCTGGTCCGACACCTCAACAGGAAGGTTCGGCTCTGGGAGAATATCTGCTTCCATGGCAGGGGCTTTGGCATCTCCGAGGCCCGTAACTCCTGTGTTCTGTGGCCTCCCTCCACTGTCATATTCAGACAGTGGAACCCCTACCCGACGCCCACCCGGAGAGCCTCAATGCGATCCTCGCGGCCCGTGCCACCGAGGTCCAGATGATGAAGACCTCTGGATGGTTGCGCGATGGTGACAAGCTCTTGCTCTGCGATCCTGCCCGGAGCTGCTTCAGCAGCCTGGGGCAGCGGCGTGGCGGTTCACCTTCAGGAAATAGAGGACGCGGTAAAGAACCAAAGCCTCATTCAAACAATGCCAAGAGGGCTGCTTTCAGATTGCGGGACTACGGAGGCTCGGAGAGCAAGATGCGCCCTTCTTCCGCTGAACCCTTCGCTGCCCGGGACTCTTGCCGCCATCGCAGCATCCAGAGCAAGGTGCTGGTTGTAGGTTTGGGCAAGCTCTGTCGCCTTAGCGCAGGCTAAGCATTGAAGAGGATGTTCCGCCACATGGCAAGGGGCCTGCGAGATGGTCGCAACTTTGTACTGGATGCAAAGTCGGCTTTCTTCCAATGCTCCAACGGCACTCGTGAAACTCAACCTGAGGAAAGTACGTCAAGGACACCATTGGCGTGGTCGGCCAAATAGCTGACCGACCCGACCTGGCTTTAACACATGCCAGCGGCGGCGAACTTGGCGCCGTACGAGCTTGAAGCGTTAGGCCGAGGTTCGGGGCTCACACAGCAGCTGCTGGCATCCCCGACTTCCCACACGCCGAGGTAGGCGCTCCTCCCCTGCCAAATCCGCTGAGGCGGTGGCATTGAACGTCGTGTAGCCTGAGCTGTCATGTCGGTGGAATAGAGGCGGCTCAGTCTTCGGGAAAGACATCGAAACAGCCAAGCAACGCAGGCCAAACATAGCAAAGAACACGCTCCCGATGCTCAGGTCCACTGCGCCCTGCAGCTTTAGTCGTTTCAGTTTTAGGTCGTTGTCTACTGGATTTCACCCTTGCAAGCTTCAAAGTGAATGCCAAAGTAGCCACCTCACACCACGCAACTTAGATGCCCAAATTGCTATTTTCGTCGGCGTGGGCTGACGGGATGAAGAGTCAGCTGCTGTGGCTCCAGCCTGAATGGTGAAGAAGTGCTTCCACCCGGCGCCGTTGACCCTCCGCTCGTACATGAAGTCCCAATAGACCTGAATCGGCTGCAGCGCAGGCTCCGGAGTATGTGCGGATGCTCTCCATGACCTGGCCTGGAAAAGACAAATGTAGAGCACGAAGAGTGCCCTGGCAGGAAGCAGAAGGTCGTCACGTCCAAAACTGATGGTCAACTGACCTGCCTCACGATGTCCGCAAGAAGTTGTGCAAAGCCGCTGCCGTACTCGATGATGCCGGGCCTTGTCAGAGCAGGGGGACAGCAGGGCTTCTGATGCTTGCACCTACAGTAAGGTGTCCCAGAACCTGAATCCTAGCATACAGATAAACCTGCGTTAGCCTCGCCTGGCACAGTCTCCTCGTATCGACCGCAGAACATCCCAAGCTGGCTACATCTTCCGCCTGAAGGTGGAGACGTCGATCTTCGGCGTGACTGTACCAAAGCCCGTCATTTCGAAGGAGTACCTACGACTGTGTCTCACTTCCGATCCTCTGCAAAATAGCAAATTCATGCTGCATCGGACAGGCAGGTACTTCAGGTTACGGGTCACTTCAAAGGTAACCGGCCCTGGAATCTTGGCAGACAGAGGGTTTGCGGCGACCCGGGTCGACATAGGTCAAGATTCTGGAACATTTTGTTCAACCTTCGCACTACGATCGATCCGTTGGCACCTGCTCGGAATCCAAAGGTCGTAGTTGGGGCTGTACAGCGTGAACTGCACGTGGACCGCTCTTGTTTGTGTGTCCAGCCTGAGCCAAGCAAGCGGAGGAGTAGAGACTCAAGGATAAGGACACATTGGTCCCTAAACCCTAAGCCCTGAACCACTACTGTAGATATCGGGGTTTCCGAAAATAGGGGAACCTCCCAAATAGTAGGATCCTTATTATACGAGCCCAAAATAAGGTACCCCTCAATTTCGGAAACCCCCAAAATGCAAGCAAACACCATACGCGGCTCTGCGAAAGCGGAAGATGCTCCCGGCCCTCAGCTGCAGTTCTTTCGATTTCGTGCTTGGGCCTTGAGTCGAAAAGGGGCGGGGGGACAAATATCCGCACAACCCATCGAAGATACTCTCCTCTACTCGACTCTACTATATGCTACGATACTCTGAAACCCTACTCAATTCTCTTCCAAGTCTCAGCTGCAATGGAGAAGGAATCCAGATATCATCCAAAAAGGGCAGGTGCCATTATCAGGCCCCGGGCCAGCTTGCTCGGGCCAAGAAGGCAACATCTTCCAGGAAAGCCTGTCGAACCGTGTCTGCAGACCTCATCGCAGCAAGGAAAAGTGGAGATTCAATCGTGAAGTGTCGCGAGGCTGTCCGACCGTGCATGGTCCGGCGTCTGGCGTTCCGTTCCCCCCCCTGCACCCCCCAGTTCACTGCAAATGGTATGGTTTCATGGATGGAGGGGAGGGAAGGGAGAGGGGGGGGGACAGTCGCGCAATCCTCGTGACAGATGTCGCTTTCTGCACCGGACCTCGCGGTGATGTTTCCAAATTTGCAGCAGTTACACGCACAGGGGTGGGAGGGGCTTGGGGGCCGGAATGCCTTGCAAGACTGGATGAGGCACGGCAACAGTCACAATGATGGCAGGAGCGTCCGCATAGGCGAGAATGGGAGAGATTCAAACGATGAAGAGGATGCCAATGATGAAAATGATGATGACAACGACGTGTCGAGTGTGCCAGCGGTCAACCAAGACAGTCGAGACTTTCGTCGTCGTCGTCGTCGTCGTCGTCGTCGTCATTTCTGGATCTTGAGATACCGGTTGTCGCTTGTGGATCTTGATATCGCCGCGGGAGCAGGGACTCGAAAACAAACAAAGCCAAACCCAAACCCACCCCGCACCCACAGTGGGAAGCGGGGAATTGACCTCAGCATCCATTCCCATTTGCGCATACTACCCAAACCCACCCATCTGCATAGGGGGATGGTTGACCTTGAGGTTGCATGACGGCTTGTTCATGAAAGGACACAGGGTTCCTTGACCTAGGCGGGGAGGGGGGCGCGGCCGGGAGGGCGTGACCATACATGACAGCTGGGCTGCAGACGGGTGCTGCAAGCTATACTCGACACCTCGGCCAGGCAGAAGGATCTTTAAGTCCAGTCTACAAGTAGTTCCTGAAGAAATTGGAAAGCAGTTCCAGTTTTTCGAATCACATGAGTGTGCCCAATCCAAGATGCGCGAACTCAACGCAGGAATAGCTTCTTGATTTGTGGCCGCACCATCCAAGGATTCGGCTGTAACCCGAACCATCCACAGCGGAGAATGTCATCTGTGTGGATGCCTCTCCTGACGGAATGGGGGAGCCTCCACGTCCCGTCCATGCAGGATGAGTAGTTGTTGGAAGCACGAGAAGCTAGAACCACCGTCAGTCCAGGGTGGACAGCATAGCTCTACCTTTCTTCAAGCTTATCTGTCGAAGGACTCCTTCCAGTATGGCCCTTACTGTGCCGCCTCCTGGCGAAGCCATGCGCGACGGACCCCACTGCCATGGGCTGATCTGATGTGAGCGACCGTCCTCCCGGGAAACACGGCAGATCTTCTCTAGACAGGTGGATGGGGCAGCAGTACTACCCGGAAGCCGCATGAAGTGTCATGACACCCCCGATGACTGAAAACGGCAGGAAGCCTGAGTCGAAACCAAAGAGAAATGGCAATGCAGGTGTCTACAAAGGAAGAAGGCCTGAATAAAGAAAGGGAATCCAAAACCCCGTCCAAGCCGATCTTGCCCTGGAAGTAGGTGTAAACTTCTGCGAGGCTAGCTGTCGCCGCCTGACGCAGGAGCCCACGCATTCAAATTCGATCCGGCCCTTTTCGGTGTTGATCCGACCCCTCCTCCTACGTCTCCGTTGTTGTATCCGGCTCCTACGGCGAGTTAGCTGTGCCGCGTGAATTCTGAGGCCTTAAAAGAACTGAGTTCGACTCTGGTGCTCGGCACAACCGCGGACACGAGAACCACAATCTGTTCCAATGTTCTCCTGTTCCTAGTGTGGCGCAAACATGGCCTGGCTCATGTTGCCCCGAACACTCAAACAGGCGTTCATGAACCTAAACCTAGCATCAGCCTCGGCCATATCAGTTCCATCCTCCCCAATCTCAGGGGGCGCTCCAAGGCCCTGGCCGTGTCGTCCGTGTATGCCATGGCATAACCTGGGGCCCAACAAACATGCTACTTGTACCAGTGGTTACAGCAGGCTACAGCGATAGACCGTCAAGGTCGGGCCCGCACAAGGCAAAATCCAAAACACAGATTCTCAAAGTCTCCCAGCTGCCTTTTCCAAAAAACTGAGCGCCGAGCAGGAGACGTTGGGAGGCAGCGTGAAGGATGTATCCTGGCCAAGGTCGACTCAAGAGGAGGGTAGTTCTCTAAATTAGGGTCCCTAATATAGTTACTATATCGGGGACCCAAAAAGGGACCCTAATTTTGAGAACTACCCAGGAACACTTCGGCGATCCTTTTCGACAGTTCCGGCGACTGCGAACCATCATGGTGCGGTGTGAGCATGTCTTGTCAAAAGCCCAGCGAGACTGCTGCTTGCAGAAACCAGAAAGTCAGGGGAGGATTCAGAACTCCTAAATTAAGCTGTAGAGTCGTAGAGTCTGGTGGTGGTGTCCACGTTGTCAGGATCTCACAAAGCAAATCAAGATGCGAATCCTTGCGAACTTCCACATCCATTCCCAACTCCCACAACTTGCCCACAACCTCGCTGCCGCAAAACAGTGCCTCCTGAGGGCACTGTGCTGCTGTTGCCGGCTGGACGTTTTGGACGAGAACCTGCGCACTCTCACTTATCGACCTGTGGGCCCTGGGCCAAAGACGGCCGAAGCTTAGACATCTTCGACCCTGCCTGGAGGAAGCCAACGGCATAATTGCCGCTGCGAAGCAGAGAGTCGGCCGTAAACAGCTCGGCCTCTTACGCTATGCGGGGAAATTCGGATTGCAAAGCGTGAGCTCATGGATCATGATCTTGCACGATCTTGCTGATGGCTGGTGACCAACACACCTGACGTGCAAAACATCTGAAACCTAACCTGAAGCTTACCGTTTACATGTAGAACCTCTGCCGTTCAAGCTGCAAACTGCCGGATGCTTTCGGCTGAGCATCTGGCCGCCACGGTGTCCGTCAACCTAAACGGGCCGATGATATCCCACGTTTAGCGTCTGGATGAAGACCCTCTGCCCCTGAGCACCCCGCCACGCCCAAACAGAACTCGGGGTTCTGATATCTTCGAAGTCTACGGTATGCACATCACCTGCCGTGATTGACCCTGGATGAAGGCAAGTTTAGAGCCGCAGCAAAATGAAGGGCAGGAAACTCGCCAGCAGGGGAAACTCTGACTCATGAACGCATGCTGAGCACCAAGAGCACCAGAAGAGCACTACGAAATTCAACGCCGATCCCTTACTTCACAGTGCCGGCTCGACCAGAGGTGAGAGGGAGAACAGCTCCTCGCAGCTTGGAGAGAAAGCCCGGACATGCCCTGACTCCCTGCTTCGCTGTGTCCTTCGCGGCATAAGTAGTTCACTCCCGGCGGCTGCATCAGATAGATGTCGTAGACCGCCAAAACGAGAACGGTAAGATAGATCTCGGGCATGCGTGGCTCTTTGAAACAATCTCCGTGTGAACAGGTTTCTGGCCTCTCTACATGTTGCTATGGCAAACACTACGACCTTCTGTGAACTGGAGGCGTCCACATATGCATTTGTCCATGCGCTTGCGGCTCCATGCTTGCTTCGGAACTGTATGCTGCACCGGACCGAAGCGGCCGACAGCATCCTGCCAAACTAAGCGACAATTGAGAGGCCAGCGAAGATATTTCGCAGCTTCATGCGCTGCAAGTGCCTCGATGTTTAGAATTGAATTGCTGAGCTCCGCTTGCTCTGTAGGTCAGTTTTGCACTAAGACCTCGGCTGCTTCACGTTCCTGTCACGCTGCGTCATAAACCTCAGAAAAGCGTGTCATCAAAAGTTCGCCGCAGCTAAGCGAATTCCCAGGTCGCCGGGCGCAAAAAGGCCAGGAAGAAACATCATCTGCTCGGCGAGTTCCCCGCTAGAGCCTTTTGCAATCGGCTGCGAGTCTTCCAGTCTCTTGACGCTCTAACCCAAGCCGGACGGAGCGCTCGTCAGCAACGAACATGAGACTTAAACCTCGAAATTCAGGCCCTGTCATAGCAGCCCGCCCCTCCGGCTCCACCTCCTGCTGCGGCGCCCTCCCCCTTGCCGGCGTCGTGGCTGGACTTGTTGGCACCTGAGCGGAAGTCGTTGCAGACTACCGCCGCCTCACGTAGAGCAGGGCTTGCGGGAGGGCTTGTGCATGTACAAGCACCCTGATCCTCCGAGCCTGAGTGTTAAACTTTGCCACAGTGCACGGTTGGAACACCAGACCGGCTGAGGGAGTGTTGTGCTGCGAATTTCTCTGGGCCCAAAAAACTTATTGGCATGAGCATGTATACAGACTTCAAGCCGATGTCCCAAAGTCCGAAAATCAAAGCCCCTTCCTCCCGTCAATTCCGCGGGTTGCCTCCTCGTCGTGCCTTCCGACCTGCAAAAGGGCTTAGTTTTTGGGAGCTGAATCATCTTCAGCACGCCAGAGGACTTATCGTTTGGAAGCTTGTGTTCGCGTTTGTTGCGATTTGGGCGGTCCCCGGCCCAGTCGCTCCCCGGCCTGCTTTGGGCAAGATATTGGTCAACTCCCTGTCCATCATGGACGTGTTCTTCCTGGGCACGGCATTTGGGGCAAGGTAGGAAAAGGGTGCCGTATCCACATCTCCGCGTCCTCGGCACTTTTCGAGGCTGGCCGTTTTCTAGTCTAAGCATGGAGGTCAAGCCGGATCCCTCTTCGGGCTGCACCAAGAAGAGTCTGATTGCCGGCCGCTCAAGCAACTCAACGCGCAAACCGTCGAGAAAAGAAATCCTCCAGAGCACTGTACTGCTCCGAAGAGGAAGTTGCAAGGTCAGAGAATGTCCGGCTTCGAGATGGTTTGATGCAACGAACCTCTGCTGTACGAATTACGCGGTTCTGCATCAGCTTTGCACCTCAGTGGCTCGATCCTCGTGCGGAGCCTTCGATTGCTCCTGCAGCAGCTGCCATGCCAGCGGGCTTGCCGAATCGCCCGGCAGCCTTCCTGAGAGGGCCACGCTCAGCCAGAACATTGGGGTCCACCTCCTTGATTTTTCGGACAGTCTTATTGAAGTCCGAGAGATTCTCCTGGCCCTTGATGCCGATGTTCTGCTTGCCTTTGGGGTGCCCGCCAAGCTGCTCGGCATTGGTCACATTCTTGGGGCGCTCGCCGGCTGCCTCCAAGTTTCGGTTGAGTCTCTTGGAGCCCTGCTGAGGCACGGCCTCGGACTTCACCTTCTTCAAAGCCTTCGCACTCGTCTCTACCTGGTAGGTTTTCATGTTCAGCTCGGGATGCTGGGCCTGCTTCTCTGCCAAATACTTCTTCTGGTGCTTGGCACTCTCGCTGACCCACGTCTCGCCCATGGGACCTCCTTGGTTGTGGCCGGCAGGAAGCTCGCCATTCTTGACTGCCTGCTTGCCCACTTCTTCGGGCATGGTGCGGTACGCCCTGCCAGCCGTCGCCTTCTGTGCCAGCTTGCCACCGGCATAGCCGGCTGCACCGTCCATGGCAAGTCCTGCCCCGAAGTCGAAGATGTCCCCAGCGTCTGCCTTTCCATCAGCCATGTTCTTCACAGACTCCACCACGCCACTGGGTCGGAATTCGCCCTTGACAGCAGAATCCATGCCTGTGGTGATTCCATCCACTGCTGCACCGCCGGCCATGCCGCCAGCAACAGCACCCACTGGGCCACCCACGCAAAAACCACCCACGCCGCCGCCAATTGCACCAACTGTCCGGGAGGCTCCCTTCATGGCTCTCTCTCCACCCTCGCTGTCGCCACAGGCATAATGAATGCCACCCTTGATGTGGCCAACTACTGGAATGCCGTCCACCAAACCAGACATGGCCCCTCCGAATTGTTTCTGTGTTTCCGCTGCCCCCTTGGTGTCTCCTGCGATGGCCTGCACAGCCGAAGTCACTTGAGAGACGCCGGGGCACTGCCGGATGAAGTTCTGCTGGGTGCGCTCTGCACCTTTCACATCACCGGCAATGAGTTGAACGAGTGATTTCGTTTGTGACAATCCGGGGAACCAGTCCACCATGACCTGAGCCTGCAAGTGAAACGCCCGAGCCGAACAAGGAGCCAAAATGGCTTCACGGTTTCGCGCATCGACAGAATCCAGTCACATCCGGTGAACTCGCAAAAGAGAGCTTCCACTCGGAAGGCTCTAAGAGCCCAGCGGCGTCTTCTGCACCAAACTAAAATGAGCATCCTCGTTCTCATTGAAGCAGCTCTGGATCCTGTGGCCGTTTTTTCCAAACTGGTGTGGACCTTCGACCTTCGACCTTTTTCTAAGATTGGCTCCTGCTGGAAAGCACAAATCTCGTCACAGGCCCTCACGGAGCCGACAGCCGGATGGCAGCCCTGAGCGCTTCACGTGAGGTCGTCATGGACTTTCGCATTGCTCATGGTCTTCAGGATGAAGTCCACCTCCGAGAGGCCCCAGTACCTAGGCCGGCTCGCAGAGTTCGCAGAGATCCGGTTTTTTTGGAAGGCTGGGGATCTGACAAGCAAGCGTCCTCGCGCAGGTTCTTGGACTTCATGTCCTTGTCCTTAGCGAATCGTCAGCTGGACAGGGCTGCGGAATTGCTCCACATGGCACGGGCTAAGCAGCCGCCCTTCGCCCCTCCAAGTCCGACTTGCAGCTCGCAGTGAACTGGGGCAGCCACCACGCGGAAGCTAAGGTTGTACTTGAGCTCGGAGTTCGGAATGCAGTATGTGACCAAGACTGTATCGATGTATCTACCTGCCCGAACACGACGTTGGCACCGGGCTCCACGAACGAAAAGGGTGCGAAGACTGGCTCTTGAAGCTTCAGGGATGAGCAAAAAGCACAGTAACTGCAGGGAAGGCGCTTTCCAAAGCTTGCTCCTCTGCAGACCTTGGTGCACATCGCTGCACAGGTTCTATCTCTGGGATCCCGGAAACACACTCTGTGCCAGTAGCTGCTGCTGCTCAAGCCCCCTGCTTTTCCACCATCAACTCGACCTCGTCGTAGATGCGAATACCCAGCCTCGGCAGCGAGTGCTCTGCAAATTCACTCCCAGCTACCAACCATATGATTACGACGAGTTACATACATGTATAAATATCATCATATACAATATTCAATTTTTGTGCACTCCCGTCACTACTCGCTGGTGTGACCTTACCGGGGCGCGAGCTCGTTTTGAGTTCGGTTCCGTTGCACCTTTGCAAAGGACTCCAAAAGCACCCTGACTCGAAAAGACTGTGGATAATTCAAAGACAAGAAGAGATTAAAGCAGGTTCTCGCCTGCTCCTGTAATGTGGTTTCCATGAAGCGCCGCACATTGGCAGTCTGCAGCTCCATCGCCTCACGTCGCCAAGGGACTCGCGGATTTTTACCAAAAGCCAGGCAGCTCCCGCCTGCTCACGTTGGAGATCATCTTGAGTCGACACGATCTGGCCGGCAACATGCCAAACGGGACTCTCTGAACACTTCCGCTTCACAATCAAACGCCTTAGGCCGTAAAAATATCGCCCGGCAAAGAACTCTCCGCCTCTCCTGCTCTCCTCCCCGAAGATAAGCCAAACCCTTTCTCCCAAATCGGCACCTCCTCGCCGCCCCTGTGCCGCCTCAAGTGGGCATCGCAAGAACGAGTGTTGTTACACCGGCAGCCAGACAAGCTTCCGGAGAGCATTGGATCGAACAAGAATGGCCTGCATGGGACATGATAGGGAACTCAATGCAAGAGCGTCTCTCTAGGTCAGAGACCGTCGAAACATGTCACGATCAACTTACGGGAGTCCATCTTGCTGCGAACTCTTCCGGCACTAGGCACATTGCGTCTCAGCCAGTGCGCTCCAACCCAAGCTTTGCACTCGTTCACGCTGCTGAGAATCAAGACCCTAATAATAGTAATAACAGTAATAATAGTAGTGATAGTACCAATAATAATGATAGTAATAATTGTCATGACAGTCATACTACGATGTTCCAGCCTCTTCTCGGCGAGGCGACGATTCTTGGCCTGCTCGTCGAGGAGATCCTGCTTACCTGAGCGTCTTACCATCGGGTTTACACTCTCACAACTCGGACTTACCATCGGGTTTAGGGTTTAGAGGGTTTAGGGCCTCGAAGGCGTTGCGAATTTGTTTGCTGGTCCCGGTCCACATCAGAGATCGCAATGCTGGACTATAGTAGATCTACTTGCCTGGCCTACTTAGCTACCCTACCATGCATACATATCATACACACAGACACGTGATAGACACCACAAGCGCATGACAAGGATGCTTTGGGCATCCGGCATCGGTCCGCCTCCTCCTTGCGAGCGGCCAGTTCATTGTTCAAAGCCTGAACCGAGGCTTCAGGGCGTGGCACGACGGGATCCCTGCAACGCTCTGCGTTGCCTTCGATGGATTCAGACGTCGCTGGAACCGGGGCAGAGGAGCCAGGGCAAGAGTTCTGCGCAAGCACTCCCTGACGTTAGGTTGCGGAGCTCTTGAAGAAACATGGGAGTCGCGCGATTTAAGAAGCCCCGAAAGCCGTCTCATCCTCGGCACATCCTAAACCGTTTGCATCCTCGGCGGGCCTTGAGCTTTTCCTGGAGTCGCTCGACCAACTCCCGACCTCAAAAAGGCTGCAAAATCTGAGAAGCTCAAAGCATCTCGGCATCCAGGAATCTTGAGGATCTGGTAAACAGTGCTCAAGCATTCTGAACTTGAGGACCATGGCATGCCATCACGTACTCGACACGCAAGGCAAGGCTGAACCAGCTCGCGCCCTTTATTCCCAAAATGTGCTCGGTCCCGCACGGCGCTCACGTCTCGCCTGGAGCTGGCGGATGAGGTCTTTGCAAGCGGTGATGTCCAAACCTGATAGATGGAAGGCAATTCCAGGTCCACAGACCGAGCTTGCTCTTGTCGGCTGAACCGCGTCCAGAAAAGGCTTCAGGAGCCATTCCATGCTTCGACACAAACTACAAGGTGAGCTGGCGGCTATGCAAGGCATCCAACAGATCGCTGGAATCATCCGCCTTGGTCTACGCCCCTCTGCTGTAGTTGACTGCTCAAGACGAAAACTACGACTGCATACAACCTCGGCAGCTAAGACAATGATCGACCAAGTTTGGCGGCCTAGTGCATGCAGCCTAATCCTCACTACCTGATCCTGAACCTCGACCCCCTCTTTTCGGATGCCACCAAAGTGCCATGGGAGCGGAGAGGCAGTCAAATCGCAAACATGGGCATTGGAATTAAAATCATCATCTTTCGGTTGCCTTCATAGACCTGGAATGACATGGGTTTGTGGGCTCGTGTCTGCCCTGCTGCATGGACCCGGAAGCTGGGTTACAACATGCAACGGCTTTTGGGGCACTGGGGGTCCTGAGGCTGGAGAGAGGAGCATGAAAGACTTTGCCACACATGAAGCCTAATGTGGCTTTCATCTCTCTCATGAACAGCTTCAATGAGCCGATAGCCGAGAGTTGCCGCAAAAATGTGCTCGCATCGACCCCAAGAAAAAACCCCTCGCAGCTACATGGAAAGCCACACATGTCACTTCACCTGCTAGAATTGTTAGCCTAATGCCGAGCTTTCATAATCCCGAGTTGCAGGATAACAGGAAGCCTCCACGGTTCGGTTCATTCCTGTCATAACCCCGTTTTGACTCAACTCTACTTGAGTGAGCTACTGCTCAAGTTTTTCATGCTTCTCATCCTTTTGAGGCCAAGAAAATACTGAAAGTGGCTGCAGGTGGCGGTACTCGGCACCGAAGATCCTATTTTGTGGCTGCCCTGCCCCCCCCCCCCCCCCCCGCCGCTCCAAACACATGCCAGCTCATGAACGTTGAACTTTGACCCAAACATGTCGGAACACCGTGTTGCTTCTGGAAGCAGATGTTCAGTTAATGCCATGGGTGAATTTCTGAAGGGCAGTCCGCGCTTTTATCTCCACCTCCCAGCGCTGCATGGGGCTGCCGGCAGCGGCGAGCTTTGACAATCCCGAGTTGCGGGATGACATAGACCCTCCACACAGCCGGCTTGTCAATAAACTTAGGAAGCTCCTTGAGAGAACGATGAGGAGCACGCAAAGTTGCTTTGTGGCTTCGGCTCGGGGCTTGGAGGGCTTGGGGTCCTAGCCACTTCGATGCACATATCTGGAGAACTCGCAGTGACACTAGCTGGGCACAATACGAAACCGTTCGCACAATGCCAAGCTCCTTTGCTCACGGTTTGGCCTCTCTGTGCTCTGCAGAGACCCGTCGTTGCTGGTCGCGCCGAAGAAACCAGGCCGGTCGTCTTGGGTTTGCTGAAGGATGGGCATGTGCGGCTTTCAGGGAGGCAAACTGCAAACTCATGATTTCTTCGGCGGATCTAGAAACGTATGTGGGGCTGCTGCTGGGGCACCGACTGAAACTGTACAAGACCCACTGCTCCTCATGCCCAGGCATGCAGGCGTCTTGGCCCATCTTCGGGGCTTCGACAGCTGCGTGCACTCCTCCTTATGCAGACTTGCTGCGCTGCGAGGATCTCCAGCTGGACCCCGCAAGAACTCGGTCAACTCTTGATCAGCCCATTCTGCTATGACCGTGACATGCTGAAGGCCAAACGATCCAGATGAACCCCTTGTGGGTGTGCTTCAGGAGTGCATGCCACCGGGCTGGTTAACAGCTGGGGCACCTTCTGCCGGTGCTTGCGGCATGCAAGCAATACTCCATTGCTGTACTCGGACCACCACAATGCTCCAAAAGAGATTCTGGGAGGCCGATTTCACTGTTCTGAGCTCGGCTAGCCTTCTGACCCAGGAGCGCTCCAAAAGTCAAGAGGATGCTCTCGTTTTTGTTTTTCCGGGTAGTTGCTGAAGACTTGATGCCCTGCGATCACTCTTGAGTCAAGACTCTTTGAGGGTTTGGGGTCTGTAGGTGGTTCCGAAGTTGGGCCACGGCCGATGCCCTCCTGAGCTTCGCCAAGCTTCGGTTCCGAAGGCTCCAACATGCACTTTCAATCCAGCTCAGTCGAGGCTGTCATCGTCGTGAAAGCGCGTCGCTGGCCTGGAAATACCGGAACGGGCCCGGACCGTCCAAAGCAGGCGATGCTGAACAGAGTATGTCCTTGCCCGTGCAAATGCCCCCACATCCGAACCTCGAACCTCGCAGCCAAAAGGTAGCCCAGAAGCTGCAAGGCAAAAGCTTTCTTAGTCCCAGATGTCCCTAACGCCCGGGGTCCGCAAGGCTGAGGCCGCCACTTGATGGAGGGCCGCAAGCGGAGGTAAAGCTTCTTCAGTGGCCTGGCATCGTGGCAGCTGCGACTGAGCAAAAAACTCTTCGACCCCGAAACCCTAAGGGTTTAGGGTTTCGACTCCCACACTCAGGTTTTAGGGCCTTACACAGTCAAGTGTCTCCGTTCTTGTGGCGGATCTGCGCCTACAAGGACTACTAAGGCCAAAAACAAGCCCCGAACTTGCTGCAGGGATTACTGCACGAAGGTCCGATAGCTGCCCAGAACATATCCATACAGCATGCGACATGCTCGTTTTGAGAACATCCTTCTGACTACGGGGTGCTCAACCATGCAGGCAGACCATGCCAGGGTCCAGTCTCGGCAGGCAACACGCTCTCCGATTCATGTCTTGCCCGAGGCTAACTACTGTAGCTTCTGAGAATCCTCTTCCCGAACACCCTGAGGAGGTCTTAAGCCATGGGCCAATCCAATCGAACTCCTCCGGAGCACGGCAGCAAGGTTGACTGACACGTAACTCGCGAACATCTCCACCGTTCCGACGTTATCTGGCCAAAGCGCAAACATCGCCAAAGTTCAAGCTGCTGGCTGTCTAGCTGAGTGTGCCAAGACTTGGCACCATGCTCCATCTAGGATGCACGAAGCCAACACAAGCTGAGCCTGAAGACTCCCAAAGTAAATGGGAATCCTCATGCGGCTCCTTCCATCGGTAATGCTTTGGATCACATCCCGCAGCAACTCGCATCTTCTGATACCTCAGGCACCGCTATTGTAGCTCGCAGCTGCGCGAGACTCGGAAAGCTCCGGGACGCCAGGGCCCGAGCTCCTGCATCAACATGGCGGTCCACGTGTTGGCGATGACCAACCTCGCTAAGCACATGGAATGGTCTGGCCCGGCATCACCGAAGTTCACACATTGCCCCATCCGGCCTGCCGATGTACCACAGACCGACGTTGTAGGCGAGCCTGACATGCAGGACTTCTGGAGATCGGCAAGATGCGTAGCCGAACTCAGTGCAACGGTGTGATGGAACTGTTGCGACCTCTGCGCCGAACAACGTGTTTGAGTGGCGTTGAATCGGCCATTTTTTTCGGCCATCAAGCATCCGTACGCTAACCCGAACACTAT